TGCTGTGTCTGCAGGAGAGCCTCCAACCTGACTAGATCCTGCAGGAAGACATATTCTCTGGGGCAGGTCCCTGGGACATGGTCACCTCCTGTCCTAGCTTCTTGATCTTCCACAGTGGTGGATGCTGCTTGAGGAATTACCTCTCAAAAGAGCAGCCATTGCTCTGTGCTGCCCTGTTTAACAGGTGCAGTATGAACAGCATGCTGGGGGACAAATCTGGGCTTGACCCACCTGAGGCATCATAGACCAACAAGGGAAAAGGTTGCAAACAAGTGAAACCTGGAGCACAGAAAAAATAACCGTCCAAGGAAGATCACAGTTCTCTAGCAGGTCATTTCTTTAAAAAGAACATTAATAGTTTCTCCTTCAATTTATGGCTTTTAATTCCTTTAAATGTGTACATTTATTATACAGATTTTTTTTTTTTAAGACTGAAACTAGAATCAAAGATTTTGATTCTTTTAAGCCTTTGGTATGACCCTATTTTTTTTTTTTTCTGGAAGTTACTATGGGTTTCTTTCTTCCTGTTCCATTTAACCAAATTTAATGTAGAATTTCTCATAAAACAGCGACTTCCTTCCCAATTATCTCCATCCATCATCTCTGCTGCATGTGGTGTCTGCTAACAGGAGTTTTGGATATGCTCTTTTCACATCAGTACCATGCACAAACCGTGGTGTTCCTGCTCGCAGGAAGTGTGAGAAAAAGGTGTCAGTTCTATACCAAAAGAAGCTCTTGCTCTGGGGGTAGATTTCCCTGTGCAGTAAGTAGGGATTATAGCAGGGGAGTCCATCAGGCAAAATAAAGGAGCAGTACATTCTCTGGCCAAGTCTTGGTTAGTTGTTGCTGTTCCAAGGTGCCAGAACATTGAAATCCATTATGTCCATGGCAGTCTTGGAATTTAAAGCTCAGAGACCTATATAAGTCTTTGCAGGAGGTGCAAAGTTTATTTTTAGTGCTTCCATAATTTTCTCCCTTGTCTGAAGAAGAAGAAGATGATGATGATGATGATGATGATAAGAGGATCTTATATATTTTTTCGTTCCATTTGGTCTTTACTTTCACTGTGACTGAGCAGAATCATAGTGTTTGCTGTCCTCCAAAGCCAGATTTAAATGCCTTTAAGGTAGAGCAGTTGCAAAATAATCATTACTTTATTTTGACAAAAAATATTTATTGTGTTTGGAGTCTGGTTGTTTACTGAAAGAAACAGTGTGACAATACTTGTGGCTTGCAATAGCAATCTTATCAAGCAGGGCTCCCTGCTGTCCCCTGACTGCACACAGACCATAACCCTGGACAACATTCCTGCACTTGTGAGGACATTGCAGCAAATTCCAGTCCAAATAAAGCTACAGAGCAGATAAGCAATTCCACCTCAACAAGCACAGATGTATATGTGCAAAAATGTTCCCATATCAGGTCCTAGATAATAAACCCCAAGATGCAGGCAAGTGCATCTTGCTTGACTGACAACACGTAGCAGATTGCCTTAGTGTGTTCTTTAGGAGAAGCAAAACATACAATTAAATAAAACTTGTTATTGAAAGCAACCCCCCTCCCCCCTCCCCCGAAAATAGATGTCAAGCTCTGACTAGATAAATGTGGTATTTTAGGTGGAAAATTGAATGGACTTAACAGGAGTAATATGAACAGTTGGTCCTGGAAGAGCTTAGAGACTGTAAATATTGCTCACTGCTGATGCTAACACAATGATGAATGTATCAAAATATTAGTATCAAAAGACTGCTGGAATAGATTTGCAATGTTGTGGAAAGCGTGAAGGGAGGTAGCTGTCCTTCCCGTGGCTTTATATTAATCTGGGTACTGGCTGATAGCAGGGGCCATGAGCACTATAATTAGATTTTGGAAATGTATATAGGGAGGAGGAAATGGAATAATTAAGGTAAGCTATCAGATGCCTGTCCTCATCCTTTTTAAACAAGCCAGAAATATACCCTGCACTCGTTCAGCATGCAGCCTTCAAGGGGAAAGGTGTCAGACACTGTAATTGGTAGAACTTGAATGCTGCTGTACTGGTGTCCCTTTTTTAAGGAAACCTATTTTCCACACCAAAATTGATCCGGCAAGGTTGTTATCTCATAATGCACACCTAGTGAGGTTCTATGAGGCCTGAGGGTAGGAAATAGCAGGACACTTGACAGCCTCTGTGCTGCACCCTCTCTGGGGTAACTCACTGCTGAGGCAACAGGCTACGTGGTGAAATTATAGGTACGGGTATGTGGAGAGTGTGGGATTTCCTTAAAAATGGCACGGGTGAGGCATAAAAATTGCTAATGGATCTGGCTAGGTCTGACAGCTGAACCAGGTGAGCATTTCCTTCCCCTTCTGGGGTGCTGCTAGGTGAGAAAGCACCTGAAAGGCACACTGGCTTTTATTTAATTATCCTGCCCTCCTTAAACAGCAGAGAACAGCCAAGGAACCTCAAAAAACACAAAAAAGGAATAATTTTGGTGTGGAAAATTATTTGACATTATTCTTAAATATTTAAAGGACACTGCCTGCTGGTTTGGAAATCCAGTGAATAATTTAATACTGTTTGACAGAATCTCTTTGGGTCAATTATTCAGTAAGTGGATTAATATATTCTGACTAAAACAAAGCACATTGCATTTTGGTGGACATATCTTATTACATCACATATTCCATGTCACATTGCATTGCAGAGGATGCCAGCATAATAAAATGGGGCAACTTGCATCAGAAAATGCAATCAGAATAATCTCCAAATATTTTTCTAAACCTTTCTCTTCCTGACTGTTTCTCTACCTGATCTGGCTATATTTCTCTGTTGAAAAAGGGAAATAACCACAACAAGAGGTCTGATCAACTTATTTTTAAAAAAATCTTCTTGGAAACTGCCAGCAACTCTTGACCTCATTATAACCCTAAGCATCTTATCTATACCAAACACTTTAATTTTAGAATAGCATCTTTAAAGCCTCAGGGGGAGAGAGAGAGCATCTCTTGATGCTTGACAGCAATTCTCTAACACTGACATGGTCCAAAACAGATATTCTTATCAAATCATTGTGAGGAAAGTAGCTGTAGTATAGAATCTCAAGGGCAGCGGGGATACAATATAGGTTAAAAAAAAAAAAGGACCCTGGGGATTTTGACAGATATGTAGAAGGCTTCAGAGGCAACAGCTGTTTCATATCAGGGAGCGTTTTATAGATAAAATTGGGTCCTGCTTTTGTTTTAAATCACCAACAGGCATACCTCCCTCTCCTGTACTTCCACTTCTCATTCTCCCACAAAAATGCTCTGAAGAAACAGGTGGGACTTTATTTCCAAAATCCCATAGTTCTAGTTGTGGATGACATTTATTTTAGTAAAGCTAATTAAAAGCTGGAATTTTTATTTTGTGGGGAATTCTCAGATTCTTCAATATTCCTTCAAGGAGAATGAGGATAAAAAAATCAAAAATGTCATACCTTTACTGTGAAATAGAATATTCCAAAAGCAATTTGATGGCTATGCATTTTTTATAATTGTAGTATGAATATTACAACATGGTGTAAAACCCAAAACAATGCTGTAGAGGACAAATACTCAACTTTGTGGGAATGATCTGAGTATAACATGATATTTACTTCATTAAAGTGAGATATTTCTGAAAAAAAAGGCTTCCATTTCCTGCAGTCAGCATGTTCTGACCAAATCCCTTTACCAGCTCAAAATTGTAAAGACAGATATGCAAATATGCACAGCTGAAGGCCTGAGTAAAATCAGAATAAAAATCATTACAAAAATAAAAGGTACCTGTTCCTCTGCTCTCACAGGTGCATTCAGCAAAATCTACTACTTGGAAAGGCTAGGATGGCACTTGGCCTTAACCAGCAGCTGCTTTAGCAAAGCAAAGGGCACATCTAGGAAAAAAAGATTCGTTTTCTTCTAAACATATCCTTAGGGTGATTCAACAGGAATTTTTCTTCCTATACTTATGAACGGGGGCAGGGATGAGGTCAGGATAAAGGCCCAGAGAAGCTTGCAAGATTAATTGTGAGGAGTCTCTGGTCCCCAGCACTAAATGTCCCCACGCTCATGTGCATCTTTGCCAGACAATCTGAACAATCTCTTCTCCAGAGCTGTATGGGAACCTGTCTTCTTCAGATCTCCAGCCTGAGGCCAGAAGTCCTTCCTGCAGTCCCGTTGCCCAAAACTGCAAAGGCCTCAAGCAAATGGCCTTCTCGCATTCTTCAGGATCATATAAAGAGAGGGACAAAGACAGTTCAAGAGAAAAACCAAAAACTCAAACCAACCTTCAATGCCCAAACAAGCTGGAGTGGGAAAATGGTCAGGCTTTTAGTCTAGTCTAATTTTCTTACCCAGTTCTTTGTGGTTTTTGTTAGGGATTGCAGTACAGCACTGCGATGCTTCATGCTGACCTTTTGAACATCCAAAATTGTTTTTCCCTTTCTACTAATTGGGAAAAGGAGGCAAAGGGAAAGTCGTCATTCTGAGAGCTTAAAGGTTAGTGTCACAAACCTACACAGAGCTTGCAGTTTTAGCTTTTGGCGAGGTTTGAGCCTGGAGTGGCTGACACGAAGCCCTCAGATCTGCACTGACAGATGGCAGTGCTTCCACAAGCAAACTTCTGCATTCCAGACACCCCCCAAGGAGCTCCTTTGCAGCAAAGTAACTAGCACTGATGAAAAGGTACAGCCTGAGTTCTCCTTCAGACTATTCAGTAATAAACATTAATATTGAAAACCCCATAACCACCTAAAAATGCATAACATCAAGGCCTCCTATCCTTGACTTTTATGCACATAACTTCACTCCAAGTCAGCCTCATTAAGCTTAGCTGAATAATTCGAATTCTCAAGTGTTTGGAGGGTTGAGAATTGAATAAACATAGCAGAAAGCTCACGCATCCTCCTTACATTTTTAAAACATGTACTTCCAAAGAGATGTTGCAAGAAATATATTAAAGACAATAGTTCAATAGGCTGAGATGAGAAAACATGCACTACCAGGAACCTTGCCTGATGTATGAGGGGTATTAAAGGACAGGGAAATACAGTTGAACCAATTTCTAACTTTTCAAAATTGTATCATGTCACACTGAAAGGAGACAGAAATTTATTACACAGACAGTTAAAATATACATGCATACATGTACACACACACATACACATATTTACCTTGAATGGCTCCTGTAGGAGAGGGAGAAAATGCTGTATGGTCCCCCTGACTCGTGGAAGGACAGAAGCTGGGGTGGGTAAGGGATGCGGGACTGGGGGCTGGGGATGCCCAGAGGGCTTGTTCTGGATCTGCAGTGCTGTTCAGGGGTATTTTAGGCAGGGCAGAAAGTACAAGGATCACTGGCTGCAGCACAAGACAGCCTGAAACAGGATGGTCTGGGCTGTGCCTCAACATGAATACTCTGGCACAGAAAGGAAAGCACTACCAAGAAATTTAAAAAAAAATTTAAAAAAGAAAAAAAATAAGAAAATAAAAAAAAATATATATGCAGAAATGGTTTCAGAGTTTTTGGAAACCTTTCACAGGTACTGCATTATTTTAGAAACACAGACACTCTCCAAACATTTCACACAGGCAGCAGAGCCTTTTTGCAAAGACAGGAGAACCAGAGGGAGAAGGAAGGGTCAGAATCAAAAATTAAAGTTATCAGGTTAGATATCCAGAGAGAGCTGTTTAAAATGTCAGCTATGGCTGATGGTGTTAGTTTTAAAATGCTCTTTTTAGGATTTATTACTATTAAAATCTCTGAAAGAAGACATAGAGATGAGGCCAGTTTCAGTTTGAATTTCAGTGGTGCAGAGGAAGCCCGCAGTGACTACATCGAGCCTCTTGGAGAGCACAGGGAAATGGTCTTCCCAGTAATGTGTGCTTTAAACTCTTATCTTCCATTTCAGCTCCAGAACACCAGTTAGAAAGGATTGTTGTCCCACCAAAGGGTATATCAGCTCTACAGAAAATTATTAAGTATCTGGTTTTTTTTTCAGTATACCTGATTTTCCAGATAGAGAAGTGAGTATTTTCTGTGTAAGTAAATATTTTCTATATTCCTGATTTGGGAAACTATCTGAGTGTTTTCACAAATAAGGGGTGGATTTGAAGCACTCCTTGAAGAGCTACTCATAAACAGGGATCTTGTTTCTGAAAAAGAAATGGAAGATGAAAGGGAGACCAAAACTATTTTGTGGATAAGGTTCAAGTCAGAGTGATCTCCTGAAATGAGACGAATCACTTCCATTTTTCACTGATGCACCAGCAGAATTTGGGCTCCAGGCTTAATGAAAACAAAATGCTGCTCTACTCTAGAGCAAAAACCTTTAGGAAGAAAAATTCCAATTAAAAATATCTAGGAAAGATCAAAGAAATACTCATGGCTTAACTGACACCTGTAGCTCTCTCTAGTTATGAGGAAAGATGGGTTACATGAGCAGGAGCATGCTCCCAGAGCGAGAAATTGTGGCAGTTGACAGGTGCAAGATGCCAATAAATTATGGGATATGTGGAAGAGAAGGGGTCATCTATTTCATTGAAAACTGTCAGGGTTCAGTCTGCAGAAGATCAGAAAGAGATACTTAAGATAAAAGTTAAAGATGAAAATGTTTCTTCTCCTTCTTTTTTTTTTTTTTTTTTCTTTTCTTCAGGAGGAGGATGAGAAGGGGGAAGATAACAGTCAGGAAAGTTACTGAGTTAGAATGTAAATCAAAATATTCATTTCAGTTCTATAAAAGTATGGTGGGACATTCAATCTTCATGTTAATCATGTAAATTAGTTCAGGGCTGAATTCTGCTCTTACAACCAGACATGTCTATAATGTAATATCACACATGTTCTGAACACTGTTGGTTGTATAGTCTGCTGGAATTGTCTGAAAAGACCAACTTTCTTGTGCTTAAATTTTACCATCTCTTCCTCCTTACAGAGGAGGAAGAAATAGCCATCAGCAAGTGAATGTATGAAAAACTGATAGCAACAGCAGCACAATGCTCGAACCTGATGCACAGGTGCCCAACAATCAGTGCTGCTCAGCACAGCGTTCAGAGCCCTGGCCAGGAGGAAAGTTGCCCTCTCTTCACCCTTGTTCTTGGTTTGAATCTGGTTTCTCCTTGTGCTTCTGCTGTTCAAGTGAAGCCTTGCGATGGTATAAGCAGAAATACTTCATTGTCTCTTTTGCCCTAGGCAAGTGTGGCTGAGTGCGAGCGTATTCCCATTAAGTCATGGGCATTAACTGTGTATCACAAGCAGGGAACTAGGAAACTGCTGCACAGTCTCCAAATTGTTTTATTTCTTTCCTCCCATCATCCCCTTAGTAGGAATGGATTAAAAGTGCAGGCTCTTTGCTTTTTTCCTCCTAAAACGGGAGGAAATGGCAGCTTGAAGCTGAGAGCAAGACTTCCCCATAATATAAAGCAGTGCACTGCCCCTGATGTGAAAGGAGCTACACTAATTTACATCCACAAAGACTGTGGCTCTCCAGCATACTGAGTATCCCCTGCTAGTGCTGCACCAGGTATTCAGCTGAGGTGTACAACTGCCCAGTGCTGACAGTGCTGTGGGGAATTGGCTCTCAAAAAATAAAATAGAAGCAGGCATAGAAATGCCCTGTCTTTCATTATGTGGCTCTCACAGTGAAGACAAAACCAACATTCCTGTCAATGTCAACAGGATCAGAATATGGTCCTCAGAGAATATTTCATATTGTTATATGACTTCATGACTCAAACAAAATTTCCTTCCTGGGTAACAGCCCTGGTTTATGATAGGAAATAAGTGCTCTGTCACACCCTGATAATTAGTACATCACAGACAGAATGTAAAACCAGGCAGTAAAATGGCATTAAGTTTCTGGCAGAACTTTGAGCCCCATATAAACCATAAACAAGAAGACACAGACAAGACGTGGTTGTACTCCTTTTCAGAGAGGCTGGTAATAGAAAGGTCATCGCCTCAGGATAAAAGAGAATCCTGGAAATGAGCTCACGTTGCAAAGCTGTTACAATGCCATTGCCCTGCTTCATATTCACACAGAAAAAAATCTCAGCACAAGCAGCTTTGGCTGTGTGCCCTTCTTAGCATATAAGGAACTTCTTAAACACGCTGGGAGCTGAAGGGATCACAGTGAGGTAACTATCACTGACCATGTGTGATGGAGATGGAGAAGGAAGAATCTGCTGTGAAATGCTCTGAAATGTGATGGGGTTTTAAGGATTTTTTTTAACAGAGATTATCATTTCAGTATTCTGAAAAGATAAATGCAATTTATTAAGCACTGTGCTGAGAAAGAGAATGGAGGGAGGAGAGGATATACAGCAAGAACAGCACCATGCTGATAAAAATTAAGACCCTAGACAGCAGTGAAGAAATGGAGACCCAGGTTTCTACCCCCACTGCAGCAGAAAACACATTTCTCAAACTCCACATCCATGAATCATTATCTAGAAAGAAATAACAAAACTTTAAAAGAGTAAGTTAAAAAACAATTTAAGGACTCCAGATAGATTCATTAAACCAAATTGAAACTCATATATTCAGGAGGAGAAGAACATGCAGGTCTTTTCAAAGAATTTTTTTTTTTAATGCCACGGAAATTAATTACTCAGTAACAGGAGTTGAAAACCACTGCATACTGCTGATTTGGGTGCAGATCCCAAATGTGCAGAAGGCCAGGGAAAACCCAGATTAAATGGATGTGTGGTCTCTATCTCTTTCTGGCGAGCAGGTGTCCACACCCCAAAAAAGCAGTGGGTAAACTGAGAAGCAGTGAGGCTCTTGGCCCTGCCAAGGACTCTGCTGTGACCATTCACCCACACAGAAGCTGGAGGAAGGTTTATTTGCCAACAGGGCCCAGGAGAAAGTTTACAGCAAAAGTACAATGGGAGCAACGCACCAGACTGCACTTGGCCATACACAGCTTGAGTGCCGTGCTGCATTCCCCCAGTGGTAGCTCCAATCCACAAGTTAGTGCTAATATTAACTTTTTAGCTGAGTTTCCTAAGGAAATGAGGCTTAGGCAATCATTTTTTCTGGCTGGTTTCCCCAATAATTTTGAGCCTACTGGCTGATGTCAGCCAAGTGGAATAGACGGACATACATTATGTTGTTATAAATTTTACAGAAACAGATGTCTGGAGAGGAGAAATTTATTCCCTACTAAAGGAAAGGCTGCAGCATGACATCATCATTTAGGTATCAGAGGTTCCACACAGAAGAGGTCCTCCTTTGGATGGAAAAGCTCTTCTGTAGATGCTAGTGATACCAAAAATTCAGTGGGCACTGATACTTTTAGAGACATCAGATCAGTTGGCCCAGGTGGAAGCCTGGAGGAAACCTGGCTTCATTGGATCCAAAGCCTGCAGAAGCACTTGTGCCCCATCTAAGCACTGATTCACGCTGACTCACACTGGACATTTCCCACATGACGCTGTATCCTACGACATTTCCTGTTCTCAGAAACCCTCCTCACAAGAAGCCAAACGCAAAGGATTTCCTTCAGATTTCTGAGACTATCTTCCTCACTTATTAAAAGTTGGTTGATCATCCTTGTGCTTTTCAGCCCACCTTTCATCTTTTTTGACATCAGTCAATAGTTGCAACACATTATAACACTGAGACCATCAGCAACAGCCCTGTAACATTCCCTCTGAATTCATTATCTACTTAGTGTAGGCATGAAAACGACCCACATCTGCTACATTAAATGGATAGTGCATGCCTCTGTGTACTTCCTGTGTATGTAATCCATTACTACACCTACATCAGTATCCAAACCATAATACTAAAAAAAAGCAGACCTGAGTATCTGTACTGGGTGGTGCCACAATACATCTGGTGGATTTCTCTGAGCTCACTTACACTTTCTCTCCTGAAGAGTTAAAATCCAACACGTGAGGGCAGACTTACAACACCAGTTTAGCAGCCCCCTTTTTCAAGAAAGTTTATGTTCCTTTTAAACAAAACAAAACAAAAAAAGAGAGAGGAAACAAAACCTCATCAACATCTT